AGATTTCTCCAATAGAAAAACCTAGTTTAATAAAAAAGTCATTTCATGTTCCTTATTCTGAGGGGTTCCTGTTTTGGCCTTTCAGTCCCTTACACTGGTTCGATTTATGGTCTTCCAGTTTCTGAAGGTTAAAATATCCTTCCAGTGTGTCCACAGACTTTCTCCATGTACAGGTACAATCCTAAAGTACTTAAAGGCTAAAATAAAGCACAGCAGTCCTGTTCTTAACACGCTGTGAACATAATTCCAAAGTCAGGGTTTAATCAACTCTGCAGTACAGTAGGTTTTTATGGTTCTTTGGATTAAACTGTTGTAGCTCAAAGCCAATGAAAGTAAAGAGCTGGTTAGCAATTTCACTTACTTAGGTTTAAATAAATATGCAGAGAAGAGCTATAAATTTGAAAAACAATTGAAATGTTTTCTTCACTGTGATTTAAAACTAGTAAATTAAGGTATTCTCATCAGCAGCACCAGATACAAAATGTGGAATTTGTGACCGTATTATATCCAAATGTACGCTTCTCTGTTAGTAATCCTTCATTCAGACAGTGGATGAAGGTCAGGACATGATTCAAACTTTAATACCATAAATCTTCAACAACTACCAAGAGTCAATGTTTTTTTTTTCTTACAAATCGAAGGCAAATGAACAACATGAATGCTGTGAAATAGCGGTGCAGAGGAAAGAGGGATAAAGACTATAGTAAATGTAGAATAAACAAGTCAGCCAGCAGCATGGAATTAGCTTGGAGGGAGAACACAGACATTATCAACAAGCTAAGAGGAAGGCTTTAATACATTATTCCTCAGGGCAGTTTCCTGCTCCTTAATTATTATTGAATTAGAATTGCCATGGAGCTAATTAAAAGTGCAAGGTATTCGTCGTGGTGGTAAAAGAATGTGTAGAAGCAGAGGAAACAAGAAACCAGAAAAAGAAGAGCGACGGAGTTCAAACACATCCTATTCACATGCACAGCGGACAATAAGCGGATTAACATTATTTTTATAAGCATAGATTAGTTTAAAGTATTCCTCCTTAGTTTAAAGTATTCCTCCATAGATTTAGAGATTTGGCCAAAAGTCAAGTCAATATAATTATTTACAAAATACATTTGTCACTTAAAAATAAACTTAAAGCATCCTCCTTAAAAAAAAAAACAAAAACATATATATGCAGTAAAGCAGGATTAAAAACAAAAAGCCTTGTGTTTTCAAGAAAGGGAAACAGAAAAAAGAATAAGGATGGACAAAAAGAAGAGAAGGCAAAGAAGAAGACAGACGAAAGAACTGTACTTTGAGAGCTACTATGACAATGGCCTGTACTTGTGTCTAATAACTTTTTTAAATTTCCCTCTGCATGGTGTCATTCATTGAAGAACTGTCGGTAAGATGTGGCTTTTAAGAATAGGTACTTCCATTATGGAAGAATAAAGAAAAACACATGCAACTCTCTCATGCAGATGAATTCCTTAATGTCTACATTCATTACGAGTCAGAAGATTTGTTCAAATCAGAAGAGGATTGTTATAAATAAAACATATTATATTATATGAAGTATTACCATAATAACCTGCTTTTCTACATCACAAAGCAACTTTCCAGATTTCAGCAGATAATTCTGCTAAGATACAGTGATCAATTTGGAAACAAACACAAGCATAAATGAGAAAAAATGGCTCATAAAGGTTTCTTTTAGATTGAACCTACTCTTACATACATCAGTATAGGCCAGCGTTTCATCCTCACACACACCATCACTTTATCGACGCCTTCTTAGGGAACACTTGAATCCCAATCTTATCCTTTAATAATATTAGCATAATTGTAGCTCTTTAATTTATTCAGACAGAACTTCCTTCTGCTCATTTGGCATATTCTACAATGAATACAATCATCCCAGCGGAGAAAAAGTTTTACATTTTTCAACAAATGTTGTGTTCTTTCCACAAGTTAATTACTCAGTAGAGAGCTTAATCTGCCGAATCAGGGCAAAGTGGATTAGGAAATGAGAGCATTTAATCAAAGTGTCCTCTCATTCTAATTACACATCCCATTTCCTGACATAACACACACTGTTATCTGCCACTGCATTTAAACATCAGCTCTACTGTTCAAGCTATTCCCAAAAGACACAATGATCCCACTGCTGGATGTGACATGTTCCTGAAAATACTGAATTAAGAACTGGAATCACTGCACCAGTAACAGGGCTGACATCCATAAGAAGGAACAAGGGTTAGAGATTTATCATCACAAGGGAAAAAGACCTCAGAACATTTAACACTCTCCTTTAAATTTGGGGATGTCTGCATAAAAACCTTACTTTTGCAGGGCCCAAGTCAGAAATGGCCATTATTTCTGTAATCTGCAATGGTCTGCCACACCAGCATTAAGACAGGGCCTATGCTAACTGAGAACAGAGTTTCACTCTCTATCATCACTCACCATTTAAAATTTCCAAATAAAACTGTTTTATTTTAAAACTGTCACCAGAAGACCCATGACTTCCTCAGAAACTTAAAGCTGTAGACACTTTGATAAACTGTTAGCGCTTCAGTGTGTTTCATGGATTTCTTTGTAAGTTATAAGTATTGACAAATCACCTAAACATCTAGAATTACACATTTCTAAAAACAATATCCTTCACGCCTCTTGCTGCACGTCCAACACTCAAAATAGATTTAGATCCACTGCTGCGTTGGCATTAAAGCGGTAAATTCTGATATTTACGGTGCATTCAAAAGACTAAGAGAGTCATCATTTATCCTCAACAACACCACAACACCTCAACATCTGTGGAGCAATAAAGTTGTTAGCATAATACCCCTTTAGCTTGCTAACATCCAGCATGGGTTTTGGAAACCGTTTAATGACTTGGTATGTATGTATTGGTCAAGTGTAGCTGTAACTCTACCTCGACTTAACAGTGCAGGTAGGATCATAGGGCACATTGTGCAGCATTCACTGCTCCCGTAAGATGATGAACTGAGGTCATTGATCCGTTGTCCACTAAGAAAACCAAACAGTGCGGTGACTGCACAGACACCTCTCTGTTTGCTCAAACTCGATAAGCAACATTAAAAGATCTGTTGATTATGTGTCTGCTGGTTTTGTTTTACACAAATTAGCCTGTGGTGTCACCTCACACAGTGTGCAGACGTGAGTGCTATGGTGTTACATCTTGAGCAGGACTTTACTGACAACATCCATGGTAACTGAACACAACTTGGCTGACTTGAGCTTCAGAAACCTGATCAGGTTACTAAAGTGATGTAATTTTGGCTCCAGTTTAGTCAAAGAGACGCTCATTTATTTCACAGATGTGCTAAAATATTCGCCTCCAGAAACACAGAGGATGTTATGAAAGTTTGGATATGATTAAATCGTATTGATTTTGCCCTGAAAGCTCAATTTTAAAAATATTTTCATGGTAGGACAATTAATGCAATGAACCTTGAGATAAGAATACCTCTGCTCTTTTTTTTTTTTTTTAAATCAAAAGAAAGAACAATGTCAGCAGTGAACGTACTCCTGGGCTACAATATTGAGTTAGAATTTTAGACTGTAAATAATTCCTCGGGAATTAATAAAGTATTTGCCTGTGAGTGAAATCTTCATATTTTAAGTATACATTAGTGAGTGCCTGCTGAGGAATGAAAGCGAAGCCCTCTCTGTAATGTAATGCACTCAGAACTGTAACACAAACACACATGCACACGCCTGCCTGTGGTCTGTGTGTGTTAGTGAATTAGAGGGCCACCTAGAAGAGGACATCTGCTCAGATAATAAAACAATAATCTTGACAAATTGTCACTGTCCAATCACTCAGCCCGGCCTCATGATCACACCACTGAAGAGGCCATTACAGACCGGGCCAGGGACATGACTGACAACTCTCTGGACCATTGGAAGGAGTTGCTGGACTGAAGCCCAGTTGCCTGAGGAGAGGACACAATGATTCATTGGCAGAGGGCAACCTGGACATAGTGGTTAGGGAAATTAGCAGCGCCACTCAACAACACCCTCATGCCCTTCATTGTTAGAAACAACAGCTGACTGAAGAAATGGCCTTCTGTCAGAAACTGCTTTTAACTGCTGGACAAAGACACCATAACAATGGACTACTGTACTATAATAACAATGGTGCATGAAAATAATGTCAATCAATGGTTCCAAAACTCTTGGTACGGGTACCACTGGCGGACTTGCACTCCCTGCAGAGGTAAATGGGATTTTATTTTTTAACATAGGCAAAACAGTCAAGGTAAGTAAATGTTCAGGAGGAGAATGTAAATGTTATGAGGAGACTTCCAGAGAGATGTTGAAAAAATGAACCTGTTAAATCCAGTACCAGGGTCTGTCTGTCTGTGTGTGTGGTTAGGTCCTTATCTTAATTCTGTAGGAATAATTTGCTACTTCATATAGTGTGTTTAGATGATCAGGGCAGACCTGCGCAGCTGTATTTTAACAGAAGAAGTTTGAGAACTACTGACGTAGATGATGCTTGACACACACATATCCACAGTGTCATACATATCTGAACCGGTAAACATTACTGGTTGCCATTTTAAAGGTACAAAACCAGTCCAAATTCATGCAAGTCTCAATAAGCAGAACTGAAAACTGCACCGTGTAGAGAAGAAGTGTTGACAGACTGAGTGAGTTTAAAGGTCAAGTGATAAAGAAAAACAATCTCCAGGAAAAATCAATCCAATATTAGGGATTTTAATTCCAAACCAATGACACACTCAGATATGATGAGAGGCCCGACAACTTCTAATTGACCTGTCAATCACTGCAACCAACAAAAAATATGAAAAGTATGAGGGAGGAATTTGACCCTCGCTGATGTGATATTCGTGCTACAATCCCCACCTTATACAACAGGAACTGAAGGCAAAATGAAAGAAGTGCATTTTGAGCGCAGTCAGACTTACATCAGAGACACACTAACAATAATAACTTTTAAATGTGAGTTAAAAGAGTTTAAATTGACTTACCAATAGGCATATCTTCATAGATGAGAAGGTAGGTCTGAAAGAAGTAGTTCTGGAAAGTCGGTGGGCTGTTCTTTAACTGCTGTGCTGCTCCTGAGAAAAAAAGAAAAAAAAATACTATTATTTTATTTGCGTATTATGTAGCATATTATCTGTATGCTACAGTTCAAAAAAGACTAATTTCAATGAGTATAATAACTCACTCATTTTTATATTCCACCACAGTACAGAAAAGAGCACTTGCAGGGCTGGGCATTTAAATCACCAACCTACTGTTCAGACAAAGACACCTTCCACTGCAACAAAATACTTCAAAACAGAGAGCTGAGGGTTAATGGTTGTCTGTGTTTGGGCAGTGTATCGTGGTGTAGAGAGCCAGCGTGAAACAGTACATGGACTTTTGTTGGTGAGATTAGGGAACAAATCTGATGGCCTTTGATCAGCTTGGCTGGGCAGCAGACTTGACTGAGACAAGGAGGCGAGAGAAAAGGAGGCCCGTCTGTTTGAAGTGTGAATGTTCAATCGAGTGAATCACTGCTTTGAAAGTGGGAGCTCTTCATTCAGACGTGTGTCTGTCTGTGAGGAGGGAGACGCTCATCTCTGACTTGTCAGGATTGCTTTTATTGTCCAAAAACGCACACTGTTACTCAGGATGGGAGGATGGTAAACAGCAGCATGAAAACACACACCCACACACATCCTTGTTTGTGGTGTAATAATCAGCTTTTATACTGGTGAAATGTAGACAGAGTACAGGAAGAACGTAAGACAAAATCACCAGTCCACTTTACCGAACAAGAACACTGTGATTTGAACGTGGCCAATGTGTTAATGAGACACAGAGGCAAAGAGCAGCAAGGGAGTGAGAAAAAGAGTTAATAGGAGCATTGCAGCTCATTTAATTAATCAATTACATTTAAATGATCTATTACAGAGATTTATCTGTAAATAAATAAATAAATATTACCAGGCTTATATCATATCAGCCGATATTTGAATCGGAAATTGAGTGTTAGGACAATATCGTCATATCGGATAATGGCAAAGTTAATATCGGACATTCATACTTGAACCTCATATCAACACTGAAGAGGACATAATAGCATGTTTAAAAATCTGAGAACCGCAATTGGCAAATTTAGCGAATACCAATTCCAATTGACAGCATAAACCAAGAGGAAACTGTTCCTCAGCCCCAAGTTATTAAACATAGCCGCACAAATCCACGTGTTTTACCCTCGTAAAAGGCGGGGCTTGGTAGGTGGGGGGAGGGTGGCAGTGCGTGTGTAAGGAATCCATCTGCTCTCAATCCTTCCATTTTCAATTGTTACTCACATTTCATTAAGACCTTAATGAACATTTGAATTATCAGGCAGTGTTAGGTCATTGTGTGAATAGGTGAATTAAAGAGGGGAGAGTGAGGTGCAGGAATAATAATCACGAGTAAAAAAATGTAAAGACAGTAAAATTTAAAGTAAGTGAACGCACCAAGTGTTGATGGTAGGGTCCAGGTATTGAATAATAAAGAACTCGGATGAAGTCGGAGAGTTACTGTGAAAAAGTCTGCTGTGCTATCAAATCTTAGAATTCTCGATGTCTTGGCGGTGTATGCATATTTCATCAAGTCTAATAAAGACACAAAAAAGGCCATTTTCCCCCCACCTCACTTTTGGACTAACAAAGGTAGATTTATGGTCAAAGGCTGTGATAATCATTTTTCCAGGCACGCTGATGGATGACTGTAGGCCATTCTCAGGTATTCAGCTTTATTTGTAAATATAATCTGTATGATTCGCCACGAACACAACACAGTTGACTGCATTTTCATTCAACGGGAGCCATTATCAGTTTTGATCAGGTCAAAAAACACAGTATACACATAACTAGTTATTTATTTTATAAATCCCCTTTCCATTCAGCGTTTGGATGAAACAGTTGTAGAAAACATTTCTGAAGCAGCAGCAACAGCTTTTTTAATAGATTTAAACAGACTCTAAACCTGTAGCAATAATATTGATAGCAGTTGCTAACAGGCCTGTCTTCTCCTCACAAACACGGTTTTTAAATTCAACTGATTTTTGTTGTTTGAATGCATCAGATCTCGTGTGAATAACACATGTAAATCTTTTTTGCTTCGTATATCACTCAGTTTATATTGCAATAATATCACAATGGAGTCGATTATCATATCAACAAGTACAATTTTACTAAAAAATGCTGCTTATTTTGGATTATGAAACATTTGGACCAAACCAGACACAGCAGACTTACTTTGACTGTAATTTGAATTCCGCTGCCTGACTTATTATATAGAAGACAAAATTGCTCTTCATCAGAGCTGTGTTTTCAAACGTGATAGAAGATATAATTCTAATCAATATCCTTAAAAAAATAATAATTTCAGAAACACTAACTTGTTTTATTATTTCCCACAAAATAAATTTCTGTTGCCTAAGATTTTCCAGACTTACCTTTGCAATAAGAGTGAAGAATAAGGAATGGAAGTAGAAGTTTGGCAAATGTCATCCTGGCGCCTAAGTCCACACTCCACAGCATCATCTGCACCCGGGGAAACACCAAGACAAAGTCAGACTTATTACGTACAGTCAGCTAATCATCTATTTTTAAAAAGTCTCGCCACATAAATTACATTTTTATGTTGTCTAATTACTGTGTACAGAAGCATGGGACGTGATTGGAGTAATTAGATGACAGATAGATCTGCTAAACATCAGGCTTCAAGCAGGTGTTTTCTTGTGTGTCTGCTCGAGTGGTTGGGGGGCACTGAGGTGAGAGAGAGTTATCAACAAGTCATTTTACAGTACTCACAGTTTAATGAGTGTAATCAAGATATCACCTGTGTTAATTGTCTGCTGAATAAAATATGCAAATGTCCAGTGCAAAATAGGGGCGTAAATAACATTTTTACATACGATAATGTGATATCGCTGACAAACACTCTGTACTACAGTGGGTTTAATTACAGAGCAGTCACATTTGGGGGAGCCTAGTGGTCACAAGAGGGATCCAGGCTTGTTATCAGAGGATGTAGGGTTCAAATCTCTCAAGGCTACGGAGCTTGAAAAACACCCAGCGCTCCTCAGGGAGAGGTTGGTGGGTCAAATGTTGGCTGTATGTATGTGTACATATATACTATATATGGATGGTCTGACTAGTTTAGCGACAGAGACTTTAACAGTTCAAAGTGATTATTATCTACAATAAATGGCCTAAATTGTATTTAAATTACTGAAGAAACAGTATTTTATCTTTGTATGTATATATTGTATATACAATTCTTATATAATACTATATATGTTTTTCCTATGCTTCTAAAAGTCTAGGTCTCACCAAGGAAAGTATCTACCACAATGGTGATGAAAACTTTCATTTAGGCCAATTTACTGTACTGTAATTGACTAAACACAATGCAACGAATGGCTTTTATGGCACCATAAAATATGGTGATCTTAACCCAAGGTGGCAAAAAAAGCGTAACGTTTAGTTGACTGTATTAACAACTCACTAAGTGGTTTAAATGCAACTGCAACAATGGAATATTATTATTATAGAAAACAAAAAAAAGAACTCCTAAAGTTAACGTGTTTGCTGTTTGTAAAATAACTAGTCATTTACTTGGAGTGCCCTGGCATTTGCTCATGAGACAATTATTCTGAATAATTTCTATTACACTAATGTCCAGCAGTCTACTGCAAAAGTGCTGAATCGGCCAAAAAGCCACAATAGTCTGATATATTGGACGCGCTGCGCCAACAAAAGCTCTATAATGGCAGACAACACTCCACCAAGCTTATCGATGGTTGATCGTCAGCGTCTCTGAATATGGTCCGAGCAAAGTCTCCCTGGTCAAACTTTTGTTTATAAAGTATTTTGTTATTTTGTTATCTTATCTTGTGCTAAACTTTTCCCCCCGTATGTGGACCACTGTTCTTCAGCTTATGATAAACAAGAGAATAGGCTGCTCCTCCGTCAGGTATATAAAAACAGATAAAGTTTTTGCAAAATAAAATATAAGTAAATGACAATACACCTTTGTGGTACTGTGTACGTACTGTACATATGTATGTACAATGTAGTTTTAACCCGTCTTGACGTCTTGCAGATACAGTCATGAAATGGATTCAATGCCAACAACGCAAACAAATGAACTATGAGTAAAGTGAACAATAGGTTGTCAATGGTTATTTGAATACCAATGTGTGTCTGGGTGTGTGTGTGTGTGTGTGTGTTGGTGCATGTTTATATTAGTGGGGTGTCACTATGAATAGCCACATTCATTTTTATTTGTGTTTCTGTTTATTTAGACTCTTTTTAACTCAATATCTCCATAATTTCCATTCCTCGTTTTTTTTTTTCTTTTTCTTTTTTTTTTGCTGATACACATCCATTTGCCTCTCTGTCTTGCAGGGACCTGGCGACCTCGTTTTCTTCTTTGTGCATTCCCTCACTTCTTGTACTGTGAAATAAAACAGTAGTCCTTTTACTTAAAGGTTTCACTTCATTCAAAACTATGAAAAACTGTTGACGTCAACAACACTGTTTTGCTGGGCGAAGGTTTATTATCCATTTTATCACCAACTCCACTTGAAGTGCCCATATCCCCCGTGGCTGTAAAAATTAGTCACATTTCACCAAAAAAAAATCTGTTTTCTTTCGACTATATTTGCTGCTCTAATTTAAATCAGAGCAGTTCTATTGATTATTTAGGGAAAAGAATAACAGTGTAGATAGATAATCTCTCTCTCTCACACACACACACACACAAACTCACACCTGTCTCTTCACTCTCCTTCCTCCAAACGCTAGAGGACATTTCTGAGATGACAAATCAGTGACTATGAACGAAGGACACGGAGACAGGCCGGTTGAGTGTGATAGAGCTGAGGCTGCAAGTGAAAATACAGACAACTACTGACAAACAAACAGCGCTAAGTTACACCGTCACCATAACTAAAGACACCTCTTGTTCATTTCTTTTACTGTGAACTGTGCTTTACTTAAGCTCTTTTCTCTGAAAATAATCAACAATAAGAAACATACTGCACCATTGTGTCACTGTCATTTAATTGGAGGGCCATATCAGTGAGAACTTCGTGGGTCAAAAGTGGCCCCTGTGCCAGAGGTTGGAGGCCGCTGGACTAAACAACACACATGCCATTAAAAAAAAATAAATAAAAAAATCAAGAGTTGTTTGCAGTCTATGAATTTTGTGGGAGACTCTCTGAACGCCTGCTTACTCACTGTATTCATAATTCCTCCATTGTTAAGGTTTTAGCACCACTTAAAATAGCATTAATAAAAATTATACGGTAATTAGTTCCTTTTCCAGATTTTATAAGGGTGACTCACATTATTGTGGGACTGAACAATATGTGTTTTATGAAGCATATGCTAGTATGTCTGCAATCACTTAGGTATTGTGGTGGTGGAGGACAAGGGGTAAGATTGTGTTCCACATCGGCAGAACAACAGTCTTTATGATAACAACAAACTCAACTGGCTGCACATTTTTCTGAGCATTCGTGTCTTCACTGACCCTGACAAATCTTTGACAATATTTACTTGAGTAATGGAGCATTTTCTAAACAATTGGGTAGAAACTATTATTTAAATAAATTATGCATATAATTGGCAGTTTTTCATTGACAGATTTGCTAACAACTACGAAATAAGTGTAGGAGTCAGAGTTGAAGAATAAATTAACAGTGATACAAACATAACCTCTCAGTGTCACAGGAATATGGTTAATGTGTTTATTAGCACGAGTGTATCAGGGACTCAATCTGTATGTAGTATCCAGGGGGAAATTCACTGTTTTCTTATAAAAATTGTCTTGGTAAATGTTATGCCTAAGTGATAACATTATATTTTTAATTGCTCATGGCACCCCCTGCAGGGGAGAATGGGGATCTACATTGCTTTGGTTTTCATGGACACATTTCCAGGTTTATTTTTGCATTTTATCAGGTATTTTTCAGAATCAGTAACTATGGATTATTGGCAAATACTTTAATATTCTTCAAACAACTAAATGGTACTTCATACTTGGACTTTATTTTTTTGTTTTCCCATGGAAAAACTACAATTTAACAGTTATTGCTTATTGCTTCTCTCTGCCCTTTGGCTACATGTACTGTAGGTGCCAATATATACAGCACCTACAGTACAGTTGGTGGCTATTCATGAGAGTATTAAAGCGTTTGAAGTCCATGTGTATTTAATAGGCTGTGGTTCTGCATCTTATTGGACACTAATGTGTGATTAAAGCTGTACTAAATGAGGAGAACATCTGAACCTGCTGTGCTCTCACCAGGGTGGACTGACCACCCGTACAGCTCTATTTCTCTGCTTACAGCATTCAATATTATTGATTACATGGCAATTGTGTCTGGCTTGCTTTAACCCCAGAGGCACTCGGCTCACAGCGAGTGGTGGGCGGCCAAATCTGGATTATCACAAGAAATCAATGGCAAATATCTGCCAGTCCTTAGATCTTACAAAATAACCATCACTCATTAGCAGAGTGTGATCACAGGCGGATTAGACACTGGGGTTTTGTCAAGAAAGAGCTCTGCTCTGATGAGCCAAATATTTTTTCTTTTTTTTTGTCCTGCCCTCCTGATTTCTTCATCTCATGCATGACATATATTTTTGGGAGCCTTAGGCAACAAAACTAGCTCACAGAATAGAATGGGGATGGCAGCTCATTAAATCATTTCTGAAAGATGTGGTTATCGTCGTAGCACCACGCTTTGGTGCTAAGTAAAATGTTTACTTTTGCCAGGTCTTTATATAAACCGCTGGGGCTGGTGACCCACTTTCTACACAAACTAACTTCTCCCTCAGTCTGATATTTCTGAGATTTCCACTATTGATAATTAGGCGTTTTGTCCAGTTTGACCAATTTGCATGCATTGTGTTGGAGTTTTCGCTTATAACTAAATAAAAAAAAAAACAACAACAATATTCACAATGAGTATTTTAGAACCGATTCAAAGCAAATCCTGTAATTTGAGAGAGCAGTATTATACAGAATGTGCATAGCATTAGCATCATATTGTTTTTTTGCATGGTTAGACAAAAACATAACTTTGACAGATTTTCAATACCACACCAAATGTAAGTGGAAACTGAATCAAATCTATATTATTCATGCCTTTCTTGGTTTTCCTGCCAAAAAATAAATTTTGGCAAAATATTATAAAAAGAATCAGACAAAAGTCAAAGATCTTACTCTCACAAAAGCCAAAAGTTGTATCTTCTAGACAGCACATTCTCTTGTCACCCAAATTCTGCTGTCTGCATCTTCTTCGACTTCGCAGTACACTACAGTAGAGACAGTGCAGTTTACACAGAGCCTCAGGAGACGGTAATTATCAAGAAATGGATGGGAGGACTGTGAGGTACTGCATTACTCCAACCTGACAAGTCAGACACTGTGCCCTGCACTGACCACCACCATGATCTGTGTTTGACTGACAAGAGGCCTGGGGTGGGGCTGATTAGTGTTCACTTAGAGTGTAAAAGGCAAGTGAGAGGTCACC